ACTTAAAAGAACACTAACTCTTTCTTTTATTTCAAAACAGATAGATACACACTTGTTTTTTCTTACTGGGAAAGAAGAAAAAACAAGAAAAACAATTCACAGTAAAATTAAAGAGAAAGTCAGCACCATACTTCCCAAGCTACCAGCCAGTCGTGTAGTACCAAGACCTTCTCAAACACTGTGATTAGAAGAAAACAACAGATCTAGAAAATTTTACAATATAAACAACAAGCGTTACGCAAATTGATCTACACTGGAACTGAAAAAACCAAAACCAGTTTACTCTCACCAAAAGATCAGCAGTAACACGAATACGTGAGCGCATTTCCCCACATTCAAAATAGAAAAACAAACACATCTGTTTACAGCTTTCAAAATTAAGGTTTAATTATATTCTGCATCCAAAAACAACAACAAATAAACAAACAGATGACTACTAAACTGAAATAGACACGTGTTTTTTCAACTTTCCTAATCAAATTATAAGCAAAGTGCATCAACACCCAGTCAAGTAACACACAGAATTCATGGATCAACAATATCAATAACATGTGTCTGACATGCAATCAGAAACAAATATCCAACAACCAATAGAAAATCAGATCATTGAGTACTTAAGAATGTTGGAAGATAATCATGATACTCATGATCAGTAATGGATCAAATCACTTCTTGAAGACAGCTACAATAACTCCTCCTCAGAATTCACAGAACTTGGGACAATAATAAATATCACAGTCTTAGACACAGTAGCAGTTAAGCTACTCAATATCAATACTTCAACAGCAGTAAAATGGGCACTTGTCAAAAAATACATAGAGCAAATTTGGGAACACAACAACCTCAAAGCTGAAATATTAAACAAATACATAATAGAGGATCCACAGCAGATTCAGCAAATACTAAATATCATCAAACCAGCAGGATCCCTTGACCAACAAGAAGAACAACATGTCGAAGGCCACATGCATCCTCCATAAGAACATATGGAACCCAACAACACAGTGGCTATAACAATACAAAATGAAGTTTCACAAATGGAAGAGGACCCCAAGGACGAGCCTATATTAACAAAAGAAGAAGTCTCTAACCACTTAGAAATGGAGATAGTATTAGAGTCTGAGAAAGAGGATGAAAAAATATCAACCTATACACTACTAGGGAGCTGTATAACATCAGTCCAAAGCTATTATACAAGAAATAGGCAGTACACACCTACTAATCCTTTCTTTGTCAGCAAATCAAGTGGTTTTAAAATAGGAGCACTCATAGCTAACACACCAGGTGATTCCAAAGAAGAACAAATCAAATACATTGCCAACCTTCTCCAATTATCCAAGGATAAGCACGAACTTATCCAAACACCCTTCATAAATGGAAACAGATGGTATGCCATCCAATTCCAACTGGAAGAAGACATAAAAAGATGCCTAACTAAGCTTGGCAAAGGAAAAGAGGTCTTTAAGTTTATTATTCTGGAACAATCCAATAGAGCATCACCTGTAGAAACAAGACAGGAAAAATACACCCAAAAAAGTACTCCTGAATATAACAGATTCAACCTGTCAGAATATAACAGTCCATACCAACTAAGAATCAAATGCAGTACAATTCTTGGCAAAAATAGAGTAGAACAACTACAGAATCTTATCGAATTTCTCAAAGTTCCTATATTTCACAAAGGAATCCAAGTCAGGACCATAGAAAAAAGCAAATGGACAGTTCTATACTTCCAAAAATCCAACAACATGTTGGAATGCAAGAAAAAACTCCTAACCCATCAACTCCAAATAACAATCCAAACCCTACACGAAGAAGAATCAAGCAACATGACCTCCTTTGAAAACGAAAACCCCCCAGACACCACAAGAGATATGGAAAAGGTCATCATTATGGACATACCTTCTGACTTCTCAACCAAGAAACTCAAAGGTGCCATAGCCAAGTATGGAACGATCTCTTATATACAGATGGAGAATGGCAATAACAACTTCAAGTTAGCAAGAGTTATATTCTTAACATTACGAATAAATCTAAAGAAAATATGGGCAATACCAATGGGAACAACAATGGCAAGAATCGTACCATACCAAAACTATATCGAGACCCTGGCATGACGAAACGACATTATGACCAGGTTATATGGTATAAGCAAGGAAGCCTCAGCTATCAAAATAATGAGTGCAACCAAACATCTCAACATTAAGACTATACATATACCAACAAATAGCAGAACAGGAAGGAAAAGAAGCTTCACCATTCTAGGATTTTCCAACACTGAAGACCTGAACAAAGCATTGAGATCCCATGTAGAACTTTTCAGTAGCAAAACTTGGTGGAGTACAAAAGACAATACAAAGATCACTACCAAAGTAAACAACAAGACTTGGGAAAGCAAACACACAAAATACACAAATCCCAGGAGGCCAGACACAGAGGAAGAAGATAATATGAGTATTATTTCAGAAGAGGAAGAACTCTCGGACATAGAAATGAAACAATCCAGCAAGAATAGGACATTCCACAAGAAACATACAAACAGAAAGCAT